CATTGAACATTGTTTCATTAAAGAGCAATATTTCGGTAATCTTCTTAAGGTGGCCATACTTTATTTGTTCTGACCTTTATCTACAATATTGTTACGATTATTGTGTTGTGTCACGTTTTGTATGTCTTGTTTTGCTGTTCTCCCTGTCATGTTTTCCTCTTGGTATATTGTCTGGTCCTTTTCCCTGTGTTTTTCCTCCTGTCGTTAGTTTCCCTGGTGTGTCTAGTTGTCTGATTGTGTTCACCTGTGACCCTTGTGTTTCTCCTCCCCTGCCCGGCTGTTTCTCGTCCTTGTGATTACCCCTCCCTGTATTTAGTCTTGTCTCTTCCTGTGTTCAGTGTTGGTTCGTCTTTTGTTTGTGACTGAGTTCACCTGTGAGTGTTCTGTTTTGTCCAAGTTATTATTTTATCTTTGAGATAAAGGCAATATCAGTGTAATCTGCATTTGGGTCCTGCTTGCTTCACCCACCGTAACTGCACGAACCAACCAAATATGGGCCCAGCAGATCCTTTTGAGCAGGAATTTTTGGATGTTACCTTTTCTTTGGCTACCTGCTCTGATCGATGGATGGGAGCGTCCGGGGTTCAGCAGCGAGAGGCTGATCTGGCAGAGGCGCGCCAGATAACTATGGAGAAACCAGGCTTGGTGAGATTCTTATCTGGCTGGATTTTGGAGTTCCTCTCGATGTGTTATCCCCTGCCTGCTAGCCTCAGGCATGCTAGCTCTCTGCCTCCCAATTCCCTTTTATGACACCACACGCATCGGTGTGGTCCGTTTGGAGTCAACCCTTGCTTCTGTCCAGAAGCCGTTCTCTGGAACTCGTCTGGCTTTTGGAGGTCCACGAAGCCTCCAAACGGCTCCTAAAAGAAGGAGTCGTAAGGCCAGGCTAGCAGCCCAAGGGCCATGGTTCCGGCCCTGGTTCCGGCGCCAGCAGCCATGGTTGCGGCCCCAGCAGCCATGGTTCCATACCCAGTTCTGGCCCCAGCAGCCATGGTTCCAGACCCAGTTCTGGCCCCAGCAGCCATGGTTCCAGACCCAGTTCTGGCCTCAGCAGCCATGGTTCCATACCCAGTTCTGGCCCCAGCAGCCATGGTTCCAGACCCAGTTCTGGCCTCAGCAGCCATGGTTCCAGACCCAGTTCTGGCCCCAGCAGACATGGTCCCGGCCCCAGTTCTGGCCTCAGCAGCCATGGTTCCAGACCCAGTTCTGGCCCCAGCAGACATGGTCCCGGCCCCAGTTCTGGCCCCAGCAGCCATGGTTCCAGACCCAGTTCTGGCCCCGGCAGCCATGGTCCCATCTCTAGTCTCTTCTCGAGTCCTAACTCAAGTCCCTTCTCTAGTCCCTTCTCAAGTCCCTTCCCTAGTCCCTCCTCAGGTCACTTCCCTAGTCCCTTCTCTAGTCCCTTCTCCAGTCCCACTTCTAGTCACTTCTCTAGTCACTTCTCAAGTACCAACTCTAGTCCCATCTCAATACCCTTCTCTAGTCCCTTCTCTAGTCCCTACTCAATTCCTTTCTCCAGTCCTTTCTCAAGTCCCTCCTTTAGTCACTTCTCTAGTCCCTTCTCCAGTCCCTCCTTTAGTCACTTCTCTAGTCCCTTCACAAGTCCCAACTCAATTCCTTTCTCAAGTCCTTTCTCAAGTCCCTCCTCTAGTCACTTCTCTAGTCCCTTCTCCAGTCCCTCCTTTAGTCACTTCTCTAGTCCCTTCACAAGTCCCAACTCTAGTCCCATCTCAAGTTCCCTCTCAAGTCCGAGTTCGGCCGACACCGGGTCCTGCCCGGCCTCCGGAGCTGTCTGGTCTTCGCCCTCGAGCCCGGCCCCCTGAGAGCCGCGGTCTTCGCCCTCGGGCCCGGCCCCCTGACTCTTCCTGCCGCGGTCCTCGCCCTCAGGCCCGGCCCCCTGACTCTTCCTGCCGCAGTCCTCGCCCTCAGGCCCGGCCCCCTGACTCTTCCTGCCGCTGCCTTCGCCCTCATGCTCGGCCCCCTGAGTTCGCCCGCTGTGGCCTTCGCCCCACCATGGACTCTGCCTTGCCCCCGGGCCGTCCGCCCGAGACCCCCACCTTGGACTCTGCATGCCCCCGGTCCGTCCGCCCGAGTCCCCCACCTTGGACTCTGCCTTGGCCCCGGGCCGTCCGCCTGAGTCCCCCTTCTCGGCTTCTGCCTTGCCCCCAGTCCGTCCGCCCGAGATCCCTTCCGGGTCCTCCGCTGTGCTCCTGGGCTGTCAGCCCAAAATCCTGTCCTCCTTACCCCCCTCCACCTACCCTGGTGGCCTAGTGATGCATTGTGTTTCTCCTCCCCTGCCCGGCTGTTTCTCGTCTTGTTACCCCTCCCTGTATTTAGTCTCGTCTCTTCCTGTGTTCAGTGTTGGTTCGTTTTTTTGTTTGTGACTGAGTGTTCTGTTTTGTCAAAGTTATTATTTTATCCTTGAAATAAAGGCAATATCAGTGTAATCTGCATTTGGGTCCTGCTTGCTTCACCCACCGTAACATTTACCTACATTTGATTGATTTCGCTGACTTGTATCTCAACTTCTGAGGCAAAATACCTCTAGGGAGCGGCCCAGACCTTCGTATATTTTACTATACTTGCTTCTTCATAAAACTGAAAACAGGCGGGTTTTTCTGAAAAACTCACAAATTACTTCTTAGACACATGGTTCTCACTGTATAGCTACAAAGCTACAAACATACCTATTTACTGCAATATTTGTCAGGACTATTCCGTCTAGACCAATGTGCTGACAAGACAAACTGACCTAATTATTGCGAAACATTTCCAAAATGACATATAATGGAAAACCACACAGTCGCACTCTGTCTTTTACACAAATAATGAGCCTCTGACTGCAGCTGCTGGAATCTCATGTTTCACTGTAATGACGTTAGTTCCATTGAGAAAAAGATCATCTGTTATTGTAAAATAAAAAACAGGAATTGTAAAATAAAAAACAGGAAATGTAAAAACAAAGACTTTAGGGCTGAAGGAAGTCTGCAGTCGGGAATCGGAATTAATTTGGATACTAAAATGATCCGAATGAAACTGTTCCTTATGACAGCACATCAAGGCAACTATTCAGTGATTCAATACTCTGGACATGTTGGTTAAAATGTTGCATGAACAATTTGAGCAAGGTCAAAAAGACAAAGGGGTAAAATATGTTTTTCATTATAATTGTAATTTGCCAACACGAAATTGCAACAAGAAATTAATTACTTTTTATTTCTCTCAGTTCTTTTAAATGTATTTACATTTCCAGAACTGCATTATTTTCCATGGATGGTGAAAGGAAGTAATACATTTAGGGTTATAATCTAGGAAATATTATTACTGTAATTGAGTATTTCAACTACTACTATGTAACAGAAAACTTCCATGACACGTTTTTTGTTTTGGTAATTCCCTTCAATGGGATTATCTGCTGGGTCACTGTGACCTGCATGATACCACACAGTGTTACCGGCAAAGAGCAGCAAACAAAAGATCAGTGATTTCTTCACAAAAGTGTTTTTCCAAAAAGATCAACAGCACCCACACACAGGGACTGCCAAAACACATTGGCACGCTAACATGGATGGAAAAAAACACTGTGCGTTAATAGCTGGAAGGAGTGCCCTGTCGTGCTATTCATCCGGGTGAGACACACTATTTGTCAGGATTTGTCATTTTGCGACTATGACGGATATGTCCAGCTGTTACATAAGTACCGTCAACAAGTGTTATAATTAGGGGTGCACCGAATGGGAAATTCTTGGCCGAAACCGATACCGAAAATAGAAAACAGTTGGCCGAAAACCGAATGCCGAAAGACCGAAAATGATTAATAGAAATATATATATATATATATATATATGTATACCTTTTTTACCAATGTTGTTCAGCTGCCTGATTATGGAAAAATAAATGATTATGGCAAAACTTAACTTAACTTAAATAATAATCACTATTATGGGTCCATAAAACATTTATTCAGCACTTTTGAATGCATACAGTACATTAATTCCAAGTCAAGTGCATTTTCTTTTCTCTGTAGGAAAACTACAACGACAAAGGCAATCAGAACAAAGCCCAATATGCTTTAAAAACTGCATAAACAATCTAGGCCAGTAGGCCTACAAACAAATAGGTGATAATAAAGACTGTAACAGCCAGGCCTTCAACAACCACAAATGCACCTATAAGTGCATGCAATACATACAAATGTGCAAACTGGATAAATCACATGAATGTAACTATTTACAAATGAAATTACAATGAATTTCAAGAAATCTGTAAATAAGGCTGTCTGTCCTCATAAGCAAAGTAGTAAACATTGGTATAAAGATACATAAAGTGAAAACTCCAAAAATCAATTGAAAAAGAGCACCCCATACCTCACCCAACAAGCGTTGTAATTGGAAGTGGTGCTCATGCAGGTGCGCTGCGCGCCACCCTGTCAGAAAGCAAACGGTGCGACCCTGCTTTCGGGCGGTCACCAGGCTCGACAGGGGCGACAGTGACAGCTTTAACAGTCATTCAGACTCTGGGTCCTCATGGCGGCTGCTCACCAGTTGTGGTCCTGCTCAGGTTACTGCATATGCGCCGCCTGCAGAGTGGTTCTCCAGCCTGCGTTTGGATCCCAAGAGGCACAAAACCAACGTCTGGGACCATCCCCCCCTCAGTGGAGGCAACCTCCGGTTCTGGGGGTCCCCCCGACAACAGCACCACAGTCCGGCATACATCAACAGGCCCAGGGCAGAGTCCGCGCTCCGCCCGCCTTTGTTGACCAACAGTGGGAGAAACTTGGTTAATGGCTTTCAGAGGTGTGTTATCTCTGAGAGCCCTCCACATCCCGGACTTGGAGAACAGGGGGCCGACCGGTGAAATCGGGGCATTACCCACTNTGTTAGCTTCTGGTGCTAGCGAGCTACGCTAACGGATATAAGGAGTTTTTCTGAGTCTCTCATTCTGACAGGAGAGGACTCTCCTCCACTTTGTTGTTGAAAAAACTCCTTATATCCGTTAGCGTAGCTCGCTAGCACCAGAAGCTAACAACAACGATCTCCGGTACCGGTGCGCTCTCACTCGCGCACGCACACAAAATGGCTCGTTCCACACACACACACAGAGCCAAACTTTAATGAAACACAGAGACCCAGACGTAATAGTACTGTATAATATTATTTTCGAATCAATAATTTTTAAAACATTTTTTTTTTTTTTTTTATGTTTTTTTTTTTTATAACCATTTTTCCTCCTGGTCTCTCGCGCCCCCCCTGTCATGCCTCTGCGCCCCCCTGGGGGGGCGCGCCCCCCACTTTGAGAACCACTGCTCTAACCCAATAATAAAGCAGGTTGTACTGCAAAACCTTCCAACAAAGAGTTTGATGGTAATCAGTTTTGTCAAAATGACTTGATAGTAGTTTAGAGATACTTTACTCATTGTATTTAAAGGGATAACTCCAAATATGTAACCTGTTACATTGAAAAAGCAACCTTCTCCACACTATAACCTACTGTAAATGGGTTTCTTGCTATATAAATCAAAGTTATTATTATTTATATACGTTGTATTCCAGTTCTGAGGCACTGAGTATTCACTGCAAAACTGAAGCATAATTTCCTTGTATCAGAGTCAGCATTTGATGTAAAGGCCTGGGGATTAGTGCATATATTAGGGATATGATCATCTAAAACACTGAATTATAACTTATTTCCTTTGAGTCTTTTGGTCCTCTCTGACTGTTCCTCCTCTGTTTACAGACAGCACTCACCTCCCGTTTGGTCGTCCGGCCATCATGTTTGAAACTCAGTACAGTCTGCTCCATCATGTGGAGTTCATCAGCGGCTACAGCAAGGAGCTGGCCATGCCTCTGTGGACAGCATACACACTGCCACGACAGGTAGGTACACACACACACACACACACACACACGTTTTTTTACTGAGGTTGACGTCGCATTGAATATAACCATTCCCTGGAGTTTTATTCTAAGCACAACCATTAAAAGCTCTATCAAACTAAATATCTTTCACACTATTTTTCACAAACATTACTGTATTCATGTTTTGTAATTGTCTGCACTTATATTACTGCAGATAGAGTTTGAACATTATATTTTTGTTATCCAATTTTGACAAGTTAGGTCCCGTAGAAAGGCAACTGCTGGAAGAACTTTAATCATTTTTTGTGTTATTAGGCTTCAAAAACACAAACGGGATCCCCTAGGCTTACATACAGTTTATTTTCTGAGTTTACTTTTCTTCAAAAACGAAGTTGGTCAGGCTGCCATACACTAGTGTTTGCAGTAGCTTGATGTCATGATTATAGCCCTAAAAGGCTACACAATCTGTGTGTTTCAAGTCTTAAGAAGCTGGTGCATCAAAAGTCAAATAAATACTAAAATGCATCTTGGAGCAAAAGTATTGAGTTCAAATATCCCAGAAAACTCTGTTATTGCAGCAGAATGTTTCTCTGAAAAACAGTGATGTGTTTCCTTTACCTCTTACTGCTCCTGACTCCTGTACTTAAACCAGGTGTCAGGCTGTAAAAATGTGACGCACGCCATGTTAATGACAGGTTACATGTTGTTGTTGTTGTTTATAGTGAGAGGCAGCGTGTGTGTAGGGGCAGAACAAGACAGAGGTGCAAGAACATGCAAACATAAACACAAAGGTGTGCAAAAACATCAGAAACACACCGACTCTGTCCGTGACCCTGAACACACATGTTTGTCACACAGGCAGTAGCTCAGTCTGCAGGGGCCTGGTTTAGGAAACCTGATGGTCATGGTTCAATTCCCTTCAAGGAACAAAATAAAAGTAGCTAGAATTACCCACAAATGTGTTCTAGTAGCTAGAGACTTACTAATTCTCCACCAGGGGACTGCCGAGCAGGCACGTGCACACAGACCTCAAAGTGGGCTTGAGCCCCTGCCCTTTTTCTTCCTCCAGAGAAAGTGCCCTTTTTATGGGGTGCTTTTTATATATATATTTTAAATAAATGAATATGTATCTACTGCTGTTTGTGCTCACTTTCCAAAAATATATTGATTGAATAAAAAATAAAAATATCAGGTCGGGAGATTAGACTGTGAAGTTCCGCTGCTCTCTCTCTCTCTCCCCTCCCTCCCTCCCTCCACGTCTCGCGCACAGCGAGATGACTAATGACTAAGCTGCCGGTGTGTGAAAGACACACTCAGAAGCCAAAGTACAGAAGAGAGGCTTTCTGATCTCCTCCTCCTCGCTATTGAGAAGGACATTCCTGTTATCTACAGTGAAGTAATAGACATTTACAGGGACATGGCCCCCAGAAGGGGGCTGCTGTAAGGGAGGAAGGAGAGACAACAAGTGAAGAAACGAAAACATATTTAACAACTTCCAAGTGCAAAGAAAGATACAAAGAAAGTTAGTAACAAAAGAAGTTATTAACAAAATATTTAATTTCAGATTTCAAGACATTTTAAAATAATTTCAGTAAAGTTGCAGTATTTTTGCATGTTCTTAATAAATAATTTTGCACCGTTTTTTCAGCATTTTTGTATCTGTTTTGTCCAATTAAATGAGAAGGAGAGGAGAGCAGAGCGCAGCAAGTGTAATTGTTGTAACTAAACTTAGGCCTACTTGTAGTTTGGAGTGTATGTTGGTTTGCGTTGTTTTGTGCACCTGGGCTGACAGCCCAGGAGCACAGCGGAGGACCCGGAAGGGATCTCGGGCGGACGGCCCGGGGGCAAGGCAGAGACCATGGTGGGGGTCTCGGGCGGACGGCCCGGGGGCAAGGCAGAGTCCATGGTGGGGGTCTCGGGCGGACGGCCCGGGGGCAAGGCAGAGCCCATGGAGGGGCGAACTCAGGGGAGGCCGAGCATGAGGGTGAAGGCAGCGGCAGGAAGAGTCAGGAGGCCGGGCTCGAGGGCGAAGACCAGACAGTTCCGGAAGCCGGGCAGGACCCGGTGTCGGCCGAACAGGAACCGGAGCCGGTGGGACAGGCTTCGGCAGGATCCCCCACGGAAGAGGACCAGGAGTTGGCAGGACCCCCGTCGAGACAGGTGATGGCGGGGCCTCCAACGAAACAGGACAAGGGGTTGACAGGGCCCCCGGCAGGAGAGTAGTCGGCGGGACCTCCAACGGGACAGGACACAGGGTTGGCAGGAACCCCGGCAGGGGAACAGTCGGCGGGACCTCCAACGGGACAGGACAAGGGGTTGGCAGGACCCCCGGCAGGAGAGTAGTCGGCGGGACCTCCAACGGGACAGGACATAGGGTTGGCAGGGTTCTCAGCGGGACCTCCAACGGAACAGGACATAGGGTTGGCAGGACCCCAGACGTTGGAACAGGACAAGGCAACTCCAGGACGGCTAGATGAGAGGACGCCCCCAGGGACGGTTGGGATACAGGGCACGCAACCTCCAGGCGGTTTTGAGAAGGCGACCCCCCAGGACGGTTTGAGGTACAGGACAGGGCAACCGACCAGGGCGGCCTGATGAGAAGACGGCCCCCGAGGACAGTTGGGATACAGGACAAAGGTTAACCTCCAGGGCGAACTTCTTTGGGGCGGTTGAGATACACGGATCAGGGCACCCCCCAGGGCGGCTGATGAGAGGACGCCCCAGGATAGTTGCGGATAAGGACAACGGCAACCTCCAAGGGCGGCTGGCAAGAGGACGGCCCTCAGACGGTTGGGGAACAGGACAGGGCAACCTCACAGGGCGGCTGATGAGGAAGACGGCCCACCAGACATTGGGATACAGGACACAGCAACCTCCAAGGGCAGGCTGTTGAGAAGGCGGCCCCCACAGGACGGTTTGAGGTACAGGAACAGGGCAACCCCCAGGCGGCTGATGAAAGAGGACGGACCCCCAGGACGGTTGGGATACAGGACAGGCAACCCCCAGGGCGGCTTGATGAGAGACGGCCCCCAGGACGTTGGGATAACAGGACACGGCCAACTCCAGGGCGGCTGACAACGAGGACGGCCCAGGACGTTGGGACACAGGACAGGACAGCCTCCAGGGGCTGATGAAAGGACGGCCCCCAGGACGGTTGGGGAACAGACAAGGCAAACCTACCAGGGCGGCCTGATGAAGGACGGCCCCCAGACGGTTGGGATACTAGGACACAGCAACCTGCCAGGGCGGCTGTTGAGAAGGCGACCCCCAGGCACGGTTAGTACAGGACAGACAACCCCAGGGCGGCTGATAGAAGACGGCCCCCCAGGACGGCTTTGGGCATACCAGGACAAGGCAACCTCCAGGCGATTCTCAAGGACGGTTGGGATACAGGCACAGGCTACCCCCAGGACGTCTGATGAGAAGACGGCCCCCCAGACGGTTGGGCATACATGACCAGCCAACTATCAGGGCGGCTGACAAATAGGGACGGCCGCCCAAGACGGTTGGGACACAGGACCAGGGCAACCCTCAGGGCGGCTTGGAGAGGACAACCCCCAGGGACGGTTGGGAACAGGACAAGACAACCCCAGGGCGACCCTGATGAGACGGCACGGCCCCCAGGACGGTTGGGACACAGGACAGGGCAACCTCCAAAGGGCGCTGACAAGAGGACGCCCCCAGGACGGTGGGGAACATTGACAAGGCAACCTCAGGGCGGCTGATCAAGGGACGCCCCAAGGACGGTTGGACACAGGACAGGGCACCTCAGGGCGGCGGTGAAGGACGGCCCCAAGGACGTTGGGGATTACAGG